CTTCATCTTCATAAAATGGGGATACTGGTAGAACTTACAGAATTTTAATGAGAAGTAAATGAAATTATATATGTAATGTACTTAGCAGTTTATTGCATATAGCACATAGCATATGTTAACAAATAATGAGCCCAATAATTATGATTATGATATTATTATAGTATAGTGGCTTAAGAGCTTAAAAATATAAGCTTTGGCCTCATTTTTGAGTTGGAGTTCGAGTTTATCAACATGCTAGCCATGTGTATATGGGGAAGATATTTAACCTAAACCTCAGTTTCCTCATTAAAATGCATATTGTAATGGTGCTTGATTCATAGAATCTAGAAATTGAAAGAGCTCATGTATCTAAAGAGCTCTGACCCAGGACCTGAGACATAGTGTTTCATGAATGATAACTCTTGTAATTTTTATTCTTGCTCTGCCATCTGCTGGCTCTGTTATCTTTCATAGTAAATTAATCTTTCTGAGCCTTAGTTTACCTACTTTGTTCAAAACAACGTTGTCTGGAAGATTGCAAATATATATAAAGTTGCTGGATTGGTGCCTGGTACCACACAACTGTCATTCAGTACATAATAGCTAATAGTTAATGGTGCAGATTAATTACCCAGGTGCTGAGGGTCAAATTAATTCTGCCCTGGAAATTAGGAAAGATATTCACAGAACTGAATGTTGAAGGATGTGTGAAATTTTGCCACATAGAAGGACTAATCTAAAAAAAGGTTCAGAGGTGTGAAAGTGCCTGTTAAAGTGCTTAGGAAGTGATGGTAAATATAGTAGGTTGCTTTAGGGAACACTCAGTTTAGTATATCTAGTAGGTAGCATGTTTGGAGGGAGAAGGAAAAAGTGGAAAATGCGGCTAGAAAGGAAGGTTGGAGCCAGTTAGTAAAACATTTCGAATACCTTACTAAATTGTTTACACTTTATTCTTTAGGTCTCTGTTTTTCCAACTTCTAACAGCAGAGGGAACTAAATTTGCTGTGGGATAGAAAAGGGAATTACTTGAAACCAGTGTTACAAACAGGAATTTCTTGGTAATCTTGTGTTTTATCTTAAAATTCATATAGTGTTTGCCTTTTACATAATATATTTGTTTCAGTACAAAAATATTTTAAGTTATTTACTGGTTGCATAACTTGATTACCTCTCCCCCAACCTCCCATACTCTCATCCCCTCAAATAAGCTTTGAGTGTGTTTGCTATTCTAAAATGTGCCAAGTTAATACTGTAGCTTTAGTCCCCTGGCACACTTCTGCTAGGAACCCCTTGAATGTGTTCCTAGCATGAGAACTGTGCTTATAGATGATATGGAGCCTTTGAAATTTTTTTTAGGAGAGTGATAGGATAAAAGCAATGCAGTGAAGAGCTGGGTTGGTCCAGATTGAGTAGAATCCATTTCAATTAATTAGAAAGAACTTTCCTGTTTGTTCTTCCTAGAAATTGTTTAGTCTTTGAACTGTGTGGATCTCCTTATGATCCAAATGAAATCAGACTTGACCTTCTCTCCCTTCTGCTTTTTTTAGTAGGAACTTTGTTTTTACTTTGCCTAGGGTATGCCTAATTGGTGAAGGGAAAAATCTTTCTGAGCAGGAATTTCCAAGAGATGAATTGTTTAGACATGGAATTCCAGCTTCTGCTTTGTCCTTTCTTTGTTAGTCCTCCTGTACTGCTGCTGTGTGTTTAAAAATAAGGGGAATTCCCTGGCAGTCCAGTGGTTAGGACTCGGCACTCACTGCCATGGCCCGGGTTCAATCCCTAGTTAGGGAACTAAGATCCTGCAAGCTGCAGCACGGCTTCTTCTACTACTACTACTACTACTGAAATAGGAAATACTGATCTATCAGTACTTCTGTGTTAGCTTAAAGTACTGGAATTTGGAGAGTCACAGATGGCCGTGTGGTTTTTGGAGTAGACCTCAGATAATCTGAGTACAGTTCTAGTCCTGCCCTGGCTTGATATATAACGTCTCTGTTTTCTTCTTTAAATGGAGATGATTATCCTTGTTCACATCACAGACATTCGAGTATCAGGTGAGATAACATATTTAGAATTTGTATATAAAGTTGAAAAGGTAGTATATTATGGTGGATAAGGGCATAAGCTCTTGGAGCTACATTTCCTGGGTTTGAATCCTGCCTCTGACCCCTACAAGCTCTGTGTTTCCAGATGCACTGCCATTATTCTAAGTTCTTTGGTTCCTGTTTTATCTCATTGAATCCTCACAGCAACTTTATGAAGTAGGTATTATTATTATCTACATTATAAGATGAGAAAACTTAGGAGCAGAAAGGATAGGTAACTTGTGTAATGTCACACAGTTAGTAAATGAAAAGTTGGGATTTGCACTCTAGCTCCAAAGCCCAGGTGGATTAACTGTTAGGCACATGTACTTCCCAAAAGAAGAGCAGCTGACTAGAAAAGTCTTATGCTTACTAATCGGAATTAACATAGAGATAAGGGGACGTTTTCTTTGAAAAGGAAAAATTTGTGGGGTCTAAAAACCTGTTTTTGTTTGTGGACATATTTTATCAATTGGAAAAAATTTTTTTAGAATGATTAATTAAATATTATAAATGTCCATATATTACTACCTGGGTTTGTTCTGTTAAAATGACTTCTAAAAATTATGTACTCAGAAGGTTCAGATGTCTCCCCTCTGATAGTTACCCAACTTTCATTTATTTTCTCTTTTGTAAAATAAATAGATCATTTTGAAACTTACCAACGGAGGTCAAAGGGCATCTTGTTTCATCTGGGTGATGAATTTTAGACATTTAGAAAGATGGTACAATGAAGAGTAGAAAAAGCAGAAAGAATTCATACTTACAACACAGGAAATAAGACAGAATAGGCAAAGTTCTGTGATGCAGAAGTTGAATTTGAAGAATTACTTACTCTGAACTTTTTCTTATTTGTCCTAGCTACACCTAGCTGCAGAGGACAGAGATATATAGTCTTTGTTACAAGTGGTCCTGTGCCCAGGTAAAAATAAAAGGTTTTATTAACATGGAAGAAAAGAAGAACAAGCTTTAGGGTTGGCAGCTCACAGTCTCTGCTTCATTGGGCCAACCATTTAACTTTTGTGAAGTCTGTTTCCTCATCTTAAAAAATAATGTCTTTGTTGTCCATCTTACTCAGTTATTACAATATCAAATGTGTCAATGTGAAAGCACTTTGTAAACTGTAAAGTATGTAACCATTTTAATAAGTTAAAAAATTATTTATTTATTTATTGGCTGCATTGGACCTTCGTTGCTACACGTGAGCTTTCTCTAGTTGTGGCGAGCGGGGGCTGCTCTTCCTTGCGGTGTGCAGGCTTCTCACTGCAGTGGCTTCTCTTGTTGCGGAGCATAGGCTCTAGGCGTGCGGGCTTCAGTAATTGTGGCACATGGGCTCAGTAGTCGTGGCACGCAAGCTCTAGAGCGCAGGCTCAGTAGTTGTGGCTCGCGGGCTTAGTTGCTCTGCAGAATGTGGGATCTTCCCGGGCCAGGGATCGAGCCCGTGTACCCTGCATTTGCAGGTGGATTCTTAACCACTGTGCCACCAGAGAAGTCCCAATGCTATTTTAAATGGAATTGTTGCCTTAATTTCATTTTCGTATTTTTAATTGTAAGTGAATAGAAATATAGGTATTTTTATATATTGATCTTATATCCTATAACCATGATGAACTTGTTTTTTCTTTTTTAGATCTGATAGTTTTTTTGGTGTGAATTCCTTAGGATTTTCTTTTGCAAAATTATGTTACCTGCAAATAGAGACAGTTTTACTTTTCCTCTCCAATCTGTATGCTTTTTATTTCTTTTTATCTTTTTCTTTCTTTTTGGTTTTCTTTTTTTTTTTTGCCTAATTCTAGGACCTTCAGTACAATGTTGAATTTGACGTGGTGAGACCAGATATCTTTGTCTTATTCCTGATTTTAGGGGGAAAGTATTCAGACTTTCAACATTAAGTATGATACTAATTGGGTTTTTCATGGATGACCTTTATCAGGTTGAGGAAGTTCTATAAACTATGTAATTTTTAAAACTTACCTTTTAAAAAATTATTTATTTATTTATTTATTTGGTTGCTCCAGGTCTTAGTTTACACTTTGTCACTTACTGTGTGTACAATACTGAGAAAGATGTTAGTTTTCTGAGCCAGTTTTCCGTTGTTCAAAAATGAAGATAATCCTTCACTGCTTTGTAAAGTAGGGGTGAGGAATAAATGAAATAATGGATAATTCATGTTAAACACTCAGCAGAGTCATATAGAAAGCACCTAACGGATGGTAACTACTGTAATTATATTTTAGTTATATTATTGTTGTTGGGGACACTTAGAGTGTTCATTTCTGTAATTAAAACCCTTATACTTAATCTTTGTGCTTATTTGATTAGTTCTTTATTCCTCAGGTTGGAATAACTGGGTTAACCTTTCTCTTTTTTGAGGATAACACCTGTAGCACATTCTTTTACCCAAATAAACTGATCATATTTGAACTATTAGGTTGGGATAGGAATTTTGTGGGAGATTAACTTGGAAAGTAAATTGGGGCTAGATTTTGGAAGGACTCGGGCATCGTCTTTCTAACAATCTAAGAATTTTGTCTTTTGTCTCCAGCTCCATGAAGTCCATTGACATTTTGAGCAGTAGAGGGTAATTTAGGGCTGGTAAGTTAGGAAGATTAATCTGCTGTGCCTCTGAGGTCTTCCCTGACCATCCTTGACTGATTAGGGTACTCTGCTATGTGCTTATGTGACTACCCAATATATCCTCTATATTTAGTATTTAATAGACTTTATGTAAATATTTGTTTAAATGTTTCTCTTTTCCTGCTTCTTGAGAACATGGACCACATGTTGTATTCCCACTGTCTAACACGGTATCTAGCACAAGGTAGACATTTGAATAAAAGTACTTGTTGAACAAGGAAATGAATATTTTGTTCTCCACTTTTCTGGAAACTAACTTGTTGGCTTTTGTTTTCCCTTTGTTTCTTCCTGGGATCCAAGGAGGAGGCATCTCCTTATTCCTTACTTGATATCTGCTTGAATTTCCTGACTACTCACCTTGAGAAGTTCTGCTCGGCAAGGCAAGATGGAACACTGTGTCTGCAGGAACCTGGAGTATTCCCACAGGAGGTGGCTGATCGGCTGCTTCAGACCATGGCTTTTCATGGTAAGAAATGAAATAAATAGAGGAAACAAAAATTATGTGCTGTTAATTGGCATTGGATTTTGAAGTGCTACTGTGGCCATTTAATGATTTTCATAGAAATAACAGAAAACCCTAATTCTATGAAAAGGAATTCATTTATTTTTGCCAATCCTGCCACTTACTTTATAATTTGTGATAAGCATTTTTATTTTCTAATGTGGCAAATCATTTTTTTGTTTGTTTCTTCTATATTGTTTTGTTTTGAGGAGCCATTTTCAAGGCAAAAATAACTTCTCTTCCAAAATAGCAGTTTAGAAGTCTGCTGGTCTAAAACACCTTACATTACCATTTGGCAGCAGGAAAATCAATAAATACTACTATGGAAAAACTAGTTTCTGCTTTTGACCTCTGAAATGGGAAATCATAGCTAATTTATTACTTCTGTTTTTAAGAACAAATTCTGAAAATAAATTATGAAAGATTTATCTGTGAAATTCTGGTTATGTATATTGATAATTTTTGTTACCTCTATATAAGTTTTAAGTTGAAAGAGATATAATGCCTTTTTTAGGGTGTATAAACTCTTACAAGTAAGAAACACAATTTTCCCACAACTATAAAATAGAATGAAAATGTGCCAGTAATGATAATTATCATTTATTGATTGCCTCTTGCATGTAATAATGTCAAGCATTTTATATGCTTTTCTTGAATTTGACTTTTCTCAAAAACCTGTAACATAGCTATTTTTATCCAATTTATATACAGATAAGGAAACTGAGGTTCAGAGATGTAACTTGTTAAGAGTCACAGTGTTAATAACTGTCGTGGTTCAAATGCAGATCTGTTTGATTCTAAATCTATGCTATTTTCACTGCCACACAACCTTCCTATACCTACATTAGAGGTATTCCTGCTCCTAGATGCCTGATGATGGTATACACTTTTGTTGTGACTTTAAATATGTAGATACACACAGACACATACACATCTATTGGGTTGGCCAAAACATCTTACAGAAAAACCCGAACAAACTTTTTGGACAATCCGATAACATAAATATATTTATAAATATTATATTTTATTAAATATTAAATATAAACATATACATTTATTATGTATACTTAAAGTCACAGCAAAAGTGTATACCATTATCTGGCATATATATATATAGAGAGAGAGAGAGAGAGAGAGAGAGAGAGAGAGAGGGAGGGGGAGAGGGAGGGAGGGAGGGAGAGGGAGAGAGAGGGAGAGAGAGGGAGAGAGGGAGGGAGGGAGAGGGAGAGAGAGAAGGAGGAGAGCGAACACAAATGCAGATAATGCATTCCAAGGAAAGGTGGGAGAAATACGGCTGTAATTGAGGTATTTTGGAATAACTTAGGGAAGAAGAAGATACCTACATTCCTTGGTTTTCACTAAGCTGCTCAAGTCTGTAGTGTCTTTGAATTCTTCCAACCTGCCAAAGGAACTAGGGTAAATTTCAGTAGGTATTATCCATGTTAAAGTTAAAGGTCCCTGGGCTTCCCTGGTGGCGCAGTGGTTGAGAGTCCACCTGCCGATGCAGGGGACATGGGTTCGTGCCCCAGTCCGGGAGGATCCCACATGCCGCAGAGCGGCTGGGCCTGTGAGCCATGGCCGCTGAGCCTGTGCGTCCGGAGCCTGTGCTCCGCAACGGGAGAGGCCACAACAGTGAGAGGCCTGCATACCGCAAAAAAAAAAAAAGTTAAAGGTCCCCTACAAAGCTGCACAACAATTTAAGAGATCATGCCAGTGCTAACATTTCTTTCTGGTCTCAATTGAATGATTACACTTACCAAGCTCAATTTAAATATTTATATATATAACTGGTCTTGTCAATCAAAAGAATAAATGTTAACTGAAGTTTTAACTTTGCCAGATTCCTTTTGAAATATGACTACTATTGGTTAATAATAGCAGCTAACATTTATTGAATGCCTATTATATACCAGGGACTGTGGCAAATGCTTTATATGGATAAAATAATGAAAGTAGTTTTTAAGTAAATGTAACTAAATAATTGTCCTCCAGAGTAATGTGTTGGGGAGGCTATATGCTTGATCAAAATGTGTTTTCTACCCCTTTTTTTCAAACTGCCTTCAGATGAGGAAAGTGAGAGTCAGAGAAACAATGTGCTGTCCCCATTTGTGTTTCCCCAGTGTGATTACCTGCCTTTTTCACCAAAAAGTGTTCTGAATTATTTAATCTCTTTGTAAAAATCATATCCACCTTCAGTCAGGAGTGGGTACTGCTAATATGCAAAAGAACAAATTCTTGTCACAATTTTAAAAAGTTGTTTGGTAAATGTTTGTGTGTTTGAAAATTTTCATAATAAAATGGGAAAAAAGTTGTTCTGTGAATTTTTTTTTTCTTTTTTTTGCTGTGCCATGCGGCTTGTGGGTTCCTAGTTTCCCGACCAGGGATCAAACCCAGGCCCCTGGCAGTGAGAGCGTGGAGTCCTAAGCACTGGACCACCAGGGAATTCCCTATGAATGCTTTTAAAATTGATCATATATTTTTTCTAATAGCATAATGATTTAAAAAAATAATTTATTTACATTAAAAAATTTTACTTATTTACCCGACTCAAAGGATTAATGATATTGGTGGCAATCCTTATTAAAATAAGACTATTACTAAAGAGTTTTACTTATTTGGTTCTGTGATTCTCTTGTCATAATCTTTGCTCATTGTGTCTGTTGTCTCAAAGCTAAAAATCTTCCAGGAAATGTGTGGATAAAAGCTAGGAATCAGAATAAGAATCTTACCACCTAATGATAATGCTATTTAACTATCATGAATATAATATCTAACTATTAGCTATTACGAATATAATATCTATTAGCTATTGTGAATATAATATCTAATATTATGAATATTATAATGCTGTAATCATCCATGTACAGGTCTTATTTGGACATAAGTTTTAATTTCTTTGGGATAAATACCCAGGAGTGCTACTGTTGGGTTCCATGGTAGTTGCATGTTTAGGTTTTAAAAAACTGCCAAACTGTTTCCAAAGTGGCTTCGCCATTTTACACTCGTAACTATATAAGACTGACCCAGTTTCTCTGCATTTTGCCAGCATTTGGTGTTATTACTATTTTTTATTTCAGTCATTTTGATAGGTATGTAGCCATTATTTCTTCAAATACTTTTTCAACCCTACCCTGTTTCTCCTCTGGGACAAATAGCTCTGTTCCATTTTTTTTTTTTTTTTAGTCTATTTTTTTTTCTTGTTCTTTAGGTTTGGGTAATTTCTATTTTTTTATCTTTTAATTCACTGATTCTTTCCTCTGTTCCTTCTGTTCTGTTGTTTAGCCCAGCCATTACTGTATTTTTCAATTCTAAAATTTTCCTTTGTTTATTTTATTTATTTATTTTTGGCTGCATTGGGTCTTCATTGCTGCACGTGGGCTTTCTCTAGTTGTGGTGAGTGGGGGCTACTCCTAGTTTTGGTGCGTGGGCTTCTCATTACAGTGGCTTCTCTTTGTTGCAGAGCACGGGCTCTGGGCGCGCAGGCTTCAGTAGTTGTGGCATGCGGGCTCAGTAGTTGCAGCTCATGGGCTCTAGAGTGCAGGCTCAGTAGTTGTGGCGCATGGGCTTAGTTGCTCCTCTGCACGAGGGATCTTCCCAGACCAGGGCTCAAACCCGTGTCCCCTGCATTGACACGCGGATTCTTAACCGCTGCACCACCAGGGAAGCCCTCCCTTTGGTTCTTCTTTATATCTTCTATTTCTTTTTTGAGGCTTTTTGTTTTCCATTTGTTTCAAGCATGTTTCAAGCACACTTTAGGTTTTTTATGATGGCTCCTTTAAGATCTTCATAAAATAATTGTAACATTTCTGTTATTTCAGTGTTGACATCTATAGATTGTCTTTTTTCAGTTTGAGATTGTACTGGTCCTTCGTACGATGAATGAATTTTTATTGAAATCTGGACATTTTGGAGACTACTGTTTTGGAGACTACATGACACTACTGTTTTAGTCTGTGTTTCTGACACCACTTTAGCAGTGGAAGGTGGAGGCACTGCCTTGTTATCGCCAGATTGGGATAATATTCTGGTTCCCCACTTGACTTCTGTTGACACCCAAGACTTGGGGCTCCTCATTATTGCTGTGTAGGGGATTGGCGTTCTGTTTCCTCACTAGGTCTCTACTGATACTGCCCTAGCTGACGGAGGTACGAGTACCTCATTTCTCTTCTTCAGTTGGCCTCCACTGACAGCATGTTGGGGTGAGGTGACCGCATTACTTACTGTTGGGCAGTGATGAAGTCTCGACTCTCTACTAGGCTTCCTTTGACACCACTCCAGCACTGAGGGGGAGGAGCACCTCATTACTGCCAGATGGACGTGAAAGTCCGGGCTCCCTACTCAGCCTTCTGTAACACCTCCCTGTGGGGAGACTGGGGCAACTAGTTACAGCAAGGTTGAAAGTCTAGGTTCCCCTCTTGGCATTTGCTGGTGTGGATGAGGGTGTGGCCACAGTTTTTTCTTTGGTGTTTGACTGAAGTAAAGTAGTTACTGTCTAAAAGTTGCCTGCCTTGCTAGGCTGCCCCATTCCTGATACTTTGGCTAGAGTGAGCAGATTTTGGGGGGGAGCTACTTTTGTGTGTGCTTGTTGGTATTTACCAATTGTCCACTTCTTTGACTTTAAGCCTGGGATGTATGGTGCAAGGAAAAAACCCAGTATCCAACGTATTGTTTTTTGTGTTCCAAGACCCCTAGCTGGTCTGGTTTCTTCTCTTCACCTTTCAGAGTGATCTAGCCTCATTTCTTTTCTCTTCCCACTTCCATACTTAAATTTCCAGAAACGTACCATGTTCTCACTCATATCTAGGTTTTCCCCTATATTCTTTTTCCTCTCTTTACCAGGGAGACACCTTATAGCTCTAGCTGTTTCTTATGTTCAAGCAGTGTAGAACTACTTGTTGTTTTCTAACCGTGTGCTGGGCTTTCACATCTCTAAGGCTGTTTTTTTTTCCATTTTTTAAATTGAGATATAATTGACACGTAACATTGTATTAGTTTCAGGTGTGCAGCACAATGATTTGCCATAGGTATTCTAAGGCTTTGCTGATGCTGTTTATTCTTCATTTAATTCCCCTCACCTTCTTTCTCTATCTTTGAACTTTTCCTTCATCTTTGAAGGACTTTCTCAAAGATCACCTTTTCCGTGAAGTCTTTTTCAGATCTCCAGGCATCATGGATTATTTCCTTTTCTTTGCTTTCATGATACTGTGTACTTGGCTCTGGTATACCATTGGCTAGATCTAGGCACATAGCCCCATCTAAGTCCAAGGGTAGGTTGGGAAACGTAGTTGTCCGTGTGTCCAGGAAGGGGAGGAGAACCAAATGTTAATAAAATCAATAGTGTCTACCACAGTCCTGATTCTGCCATGTGCTATTTCTGTGCTCTTGGAAGGCCACTTTTTTTTTTTTTTTGCGGTATGCGGGCCTCTCACTGTTATGACCTCTCCCGTTGCGGAGCACAGGCTCCGGACGTGAAGGCTCAGCGGTCATGGCTCACGGGCCCAGCCGCTCTGTGGCATGTGGGATCTTCCCAGAACGGGGCACGAACCCATGTCCCCTGCATCGGCAGGCAGACTCTCAACCACTGTGCCAACAGGGAAGCCTGGAAGGCCACTTTTTTGAACCCCAGTTTACTCATCTATAAATTGTAGATAATCATATTCTTACCTCACTGAATTGTTATGTCAATTAAATGAAATATTGTTACATGGGAGTGCTTTGGAAATTTTAGCTATCCTTTAACCGTTTTTTGAAGTTAAAATGTTGCTTGTTTTTTCCTAGGTCTCCTGAATGATGCAACTGTAGGTATTTTTAGGGGCAACCAGATGCGCTTAAAACGAGCTTGCATTCGCAAAGCCAAGATCTCTGCCGTTGCGTTCCGGAAAGCCTTCTGCCACCACAAGTTAGTGGAACTTGATGCCACAGGTGTGAATGCTGATATCACAATTACAGACATTATCAGTGGGCTTGGCAGTAACAAATGGATCCAGCAAAATCTCCAGTGCCTAGTGCTGAATTCATTAACTCTCTCACTCGAAGATCCTTATGAACGGTGCTTTAGCCGGCTTTCTGGCCTTCGAGCATTAAGCATCACCAACGTTCTCTTTTATAATGAAGACCTGGCTGAAGTTGCCTCATTGCCAAGATTAGAGAGCCTGGATATTTCTAACACCTCGATCACAGACATCACGGCTCTGCTGGCCTGCAAAGACCGACTCAAGTCTCTAACCATGCATCACTTGAAATGTTTAAAAATGACAACTACCCAGATACTGGATGTTGTTCGGGAACTAAGACATCTGAATCATCTTGATATTTCAGATGATAAACAGTTTACATCAGACATAGCTCTTCGATTACTAGAACAAAAGGACATCCTGCCCAACCTCGTCTCCCTGGATGTCTCTGGGAGGAAGCATGTGACAGATAAAGCTGTCGAAGCCTTTATACAACAACGGCCCAGCATGCAGTTTGTAGGTTTGCTGGCCACTGACGCTGGCTACTCTGAATTCCTCACAGGCGAAGGACATTTGAAGGTTAGACTTTAAAAATATATTCCTTTGTCTGGCTGACCAATGTTTTAGTTGCATAAGACTCCATTAAGGTGAATGTCTAATAACACATGGAACGTGTTCATGAAACAGGACATTATATAGTGGAAAGGGCTTGCTTTAGAGTTAGAGTCCTAATTAAAATCCCAGCTTACTTGCTTCACAACCCAGAGCAAGCTATGCTGTAACTTTTTTGAATTTACATTTATTTATAAAATAGATATGATTTGTACCTTGCAAACTTCTTCTGAAGATTAATAATTATATATGTAAAGTGGAAGTCATATAGTAGGCCCTGGATAAATGATAGTTCACATGATGATAATGTTTAGATATTTTGAACCACTTAAACATACCATTTCTAAAGGATCACTTCAAAGAAACTAGGGATGCTCCTTGTTGAATTGAGTATCTGATGGAAGAGCAAGTTCTCCAAGGAGATGTCTATTGTAGAAATGGTAAAATTTTGCTTTTCTTAAGGTTTCTCATGCCTAATTGTTTAAATTCCATTTAGGAAACATCTGTTGGACTTGGTACAGCTTGGGATTCAAAGATGAAAAAGATATAGGATTTGCCTCCAAGGAGCCTGATAGTAGTAGTGATGTTATAACTATAATGCCAAGGATCAGTGAAGTTGCTGTAAGAAAGTAGGAGAAATTTTTTCTAGCTGGAGAATTTTAGACTTGATAGAAGATGGTATCTGAATCAGACTTTGAAGGATAGAATTATAACAAGTTAAGGAAAACTAATATTCTTCTAACATACATTGTATCCTATATGTGCTTTATATTGTACATGCTAATATCTATAGATAGGTATTAACTCTATTTTATAGGTGAGAAACAGAGTCATAAAATTACATGATTTACTTTTTTTTTTTTTTTTTGCGGTACGCGGGCCTCTCACTGTTGTGGCCTCTCCCGTTGCGGGGCACAAGCTCCGGACGCGCAGGCTCAGCAGCCATGGCTCATGAACCTAGCTGCTCCACGGCATGTGGGATCTTCCTGGACTGGGGCATGAACCCGTGTCCCCTGCATAGGCAGGCGGACTCTCAACCACTGCGCCACCAGGGAAGCCCATGATTTACTATTAGTTAGAACCAATATTTGGATCTACATCTGTCTAATTCCAGAGCCCCATTTTTCTTCCCCTACTTCCTACTTCCTATACCGCTTAAGCAGAAGTATCATTTGATCCTACTGGGGGCAGAGTCAGGGATGGCCTAGAAATGAATACTGTGAGCAAAATGACAAGGTATCTTTTTTGAGCATTTTATTTATTTTGAGCATTTTGAGCATTTTATTTATTTTTTATAGAAGTATAGTTGATTTCCAATGTTGTATTAGTTTCTTGTATACAGCAAAGTAATTCTTTTACATATTCTTTTCCATTATGGTTTATTACAGGATATTGAATATAGTTCCCTGTGTTATATAATAGGACCTTCTTGTTTATCTATTTTATATATAGTAGTTTGTATCTGCTAATCCCAAACTCTTAATTTATCCCTCCCTCTTTTCCCTTTGAAAACCATAAATTTGTTTTCTATGTCTGTGAGTCTGTTTCTGTTTCATACATAAGTTCATTTTTCTCATATTTTTTTAAAATAAATTTATTTTATTTTTTGGCTGCGTTGGGTCTTCATTGCTGCGCGCAGGCTTTCTCTAGTTGCAGCGAGCAAGGGTTACTCTTCATTGCTGTGCACGGGCTTCTCATTGCAGTGGCTTCTCTTGTTGCAGAGTATGGGCTCTAGGCACGCGGGCTTCAGTAGTTGTGGCACGTGGGCTCAGTAGTTGTGGCTCGCAGGCTCTAGAGTGCAGGGTCAGTAGTTACGGTGCACGGGCTTAGTTGCTCTGCAGCATGTGGGATCTTCCTGGACCAGGGCTCGAACCTGTGTCCCCTGCATTGGCATTTGGATTCTTAACCATTGCACCACCACAGAAGCCCCTGTCTCATATTTTAGATTCCACATGTAAGTGATATATGGTATTTGCCTTTGTCTGTCTGACTTACCTCACAGTATAATAATCTCTAGGTCCATCCATGTTGCTGCAAATGGCAATATTTCTTTCCTTTTTATGGCTGAGTAGTATTCCATTGTGTATATATACCACATCTTCTTAATCTATTCTTCCGTTGATGGACATTTAGATTGCTTCCATATCTTGGCTATTGTAAAATAGTGCTGCTGTGAGCATTGTGGTGCATGTATCTTTTCGAATTATAGTTTTCTCCAGTTATATGCCCAGGAGTGGGATTGCTGGATCATATGGTAACAGTATTTTTAGTATTTTAAGGAACCTCCATACTGTTTTCCATAGTGACTGCACCAAATTACAATCCTACCAACAGTGTAGGAGGGTTCCTTTTTTTTGTGTAACCATTATTGATCTTAAAAAAGGAGAAGGAAAGTTTAGTTATAAACATTTTAAAACATTTCAGTTCTTAGATTATTTGTAAATGTAGACTTTAAAAAATAGAATGTAAGAAATTATTTTGAGTCACTCTTTTTTATTCATTCAATAAATATTTTATTAAGTGCATACTCTGTACTGTGCTGGACATGGGGATTTGATGGTGAGGCGAAACAGGCATGCTCTTGCCCTCATGGAGCTTGTAATTTAGTGAGGGAGTCAAACAATGAAGTTTCATATGTCATGGGTATATGCTTTAAATATATATATATTTATATTTCATATACATATTTTTTGTATTTTATTTATTTATTCATTTATTTATTTATTGGCTGCATTGGGTCTTCGTTGCTGCGCGCAGGCTTTCTCTAGTTGTGGTGAGCGGGGGCTACTGTTTGTTGCAGTGTGCGGGCTTCTCATTGCGGTGACTTCTGTTGTTGAGGAGCACGGGCTCTAGGCACGTGGGCTTCAGTAGTTGTGGCTCGCGGGCTCTAGAGTGCAGGCTCAGTAGTTGTGGCACATAGGCTTGGTTGCTCCGCGGCATGTGGGATCTTCCCGGACTAGGGCTCGAACCCGTGTGCCCTGCATTGGCAGGCGGATTCTTAACCACTGAGCCACCAGGGAAGTCCTCATATACATATATTAACATATAATATGCATACATACATATGCTTTAAACTGCATAGTGCTAAGAATCTAGAAGATATACAATGCTACTTTTGAGAATGTTTAACAGAGAGACTCGACTTAGTTTAAGGCTTCTCTGAGGACTTGATGAATGAGTGAAGATCTTATGGATGAGTAGCTTGGTAGAAGAAATTCCAGGCAGCGAGAATGATATATGCAAAAGGTGTGTGGTAGGAAGGAGCATGGTACATCCAAGGAACTGCAAGAAGGCCACTGTGGCTAGAGTTCCAGAGTAAGAAGTTGAAGTTGCAGAGCGATAAAGTGAGGCTGGAGAAGTAGGTGCCAGGGCCAGATTTCGCAAGGTCACATAAGCCAGGTGCAGGGCAGCAAGAAGTTTGAGGAACTTACATACAACTTGTTATGGAATAAGATAGATTTCTAGCACAGGGCTTGTTGGTAAAGGAAATATAAACATGTAAATTACTATTTTAGTGTTACTTAACTCCCTAAGAAGTGGGTCAGACAGTAAAGAACTGTAAAAAAATCAAAGGGAAAGAATTCTTATCTCTGTGTACTGGGAGTTTCGGAAGGATTTCCCAGAAGAGGTGAGCTTGACCTGTGTCCTGAAGGATGAAAGGAATGTGTCCCTAGTACACTGCACAAAATAATCTTCTCAAGGCAAAGATCCTCTAATAGTTGTGATTCCTGAGCAGTACAATTTTTGCTGATTGTTCTTACCACCAACAGATCCTAGAGTGAATTAGCCTAAGTTTTTGTTTTTTTGCAGTACGCGGGCCTCTCACTGTTGTGACCTCTCCCGTTGCAGAACACAGGCTCCGGACACGCAGGCTCAGCGACCATGGCTCACGGGCCCAGCCGCTCCATGGCATGTGGATCCCCTGGGACCGGGGCACGAACCCGCGTCCCTTGCATCGGCAGGTGGACTCTCAACCACTGAGCCACCAGGGAAGCCCTAGCCTAAGTTTTTTAGTTGAGGCTAGTAGGACATTTGTGTTCCACAATGCCTCTGTGAAACAAGTTTGATTTCACAAATGGAACTGTTACTACTTTGAAATCTTGGCTTTAGGAAACACCTACTTTATTTGCTATCATCTAGTTTCTACCTCTGTAAACATTGAAGCAGTGATTCTCAGCCTTGACTGTAATTAAAATTACCTGGAGTGTAATTATTTGAGATGAACGTTGTGTTAACTAACCACATCATGGTAATCATTTTGCAATATTTACATGTATCAACTCATCATATTTTATACATTAAACTTACATGATGTATTTGTGATATATGCATGTATAATATTATATATCTTGATAAAGCTGGAAAAAATTTTTAATTAAAAAAAATCATCTGAGGAACTTGAGCAATTAAATCAGAACCACAGGGAGGTGGGACCCAGACATCAGTATTTTTTAAAGCTCCTTGGGTGATTGTAATATGCAGCTAAAGTGGAGAATCATTGTTTTAAAATATTTTTTTAAAAATAGAGATCATTGGAACTTTGTCCTTTATTCAACTATACACAAAAGTTGATGTTTATTTTTTTTTTCCATTAGTTATCTATTTTATACATATTAGTGTATATATGACAATCCCAATCTCCCAATTCATCCCACCCCTCCTTTCCCACCTTGGTGTCCATACGTTTGTTCTCTACATCTGTGTCTCTATTTGTGCCTTGCAGACAGGTTCATCTGTACCATTTTTCTAGATTCCACGTATATGCGTTAATATACAATATTTGTTTTTCTCTTTCTGACTTACTTCACTCTGTATGACAGTCTCTAGGTCCATCCACATCTCTACAAATGACCCAATTTCGTTCCTTTTTATGACTGAGTAATATTCCATTGTATGTATGTACCACATCTTCTTTATCCATTGGTCTGTTGATAGGCATTTAGGTTGCTTCCATGACCTGGCTATTGTAAATAGTGCTGCAGTGAACATTGCAGTGCATGTGTCTTTCTGAATTAATGGTTTTCTCAGGGTATATGCCCAGTAGTGGAATTGCTGGGTCATATGGTAATTCTATTTTTAGTTTTTTAAGGAACCTCCATACTGTTCTCTGTAGTGGTTGTATCAATTTACATTCCCACCAACAGTGCAAGAGGGTTCCCTTTGCTCCACACCCTCTCTGGCATTTATTGTTTGTAGATTTTTTGATGATGTTCATTCTGACTGGTGTGAGGTGATACCTCATTGTAGTTTAGATTTGCATTTCTCTAATAATTAGTAATGTTGAGCATCTTTTCATGTACCTCTTGGCCAAAAATTTGATGTTTCTTTTAAATTATTTGTTTGACTACTAATTTGAGAGCTGAAAAATAATAGGTCATGTTAAGGGAAGAGAGCTGAGATTGTTCTGTCTCCTTGTTTAGAATTTTCCAGGTTAGCAAAGTTGATGAAAATCTTGTCTGAAATGATTCTCTTAGTATTGTGATGCTTTAAAAACTAGTTTAGGTTGACATTTTTGGCTTTACATGTTTTTTAGACCACACTGAAAGATGCAGGAAATAGAGACAGTGTGACTCCCCAGTATTCCTTATGAGGCATTATATTATACTGTTAGTGGGTGGTTATAAGAACAAAAGTTTTGTTTTTTTCCACTTTCATATATATTATTTATTTTGATCTCTTGACTCTGTGTGGGAAGTATGGTCCTCAGTGGGAGGGAATGGCTTTCTTAAGGGTCACAGCCAGCTGATGAGCCTGGTATGTGTCCTTTCTACTACATCTCATTGCCTATATTTGAGAATCTTAGTTCTTTCCTTTACTCTCTGTTTCTAGTCCCAACACAGATGGTTTTCTTACCACAGAATTACCAACTCTGTCATCTCTGTTTCCCTACCCAATTTATTCGTCTGTAAGCATCAGTTTCTTGAACCTTCCACTTCTCCACAATTATGACTCTTATGTTTTTTGGCTGCCTCATTCCTAGACTCTGGGGTTATTTACCAAACTGTGGTTCCCAGTTCCTGAGAATCACTGGTTGTGTGCTAAACCCAGTATTCTCAGTTGTCATCTTATTTGATCTAAAGTGGCATTTGACACAGTTGATCTTGTCCTCCTTCTTGAAATACTTTTTTTACTTAGTTCCTAGGATATCAGACTTGTCTTGTTTTTTCCCTACTTTTTGGACTCACCCTCAATTTCCTTTATTGGTTCTTCCTGATCTCCCAGGCCCTAAACCTATATGCTGATGACTCCTAAATTTATATCTCTAGCCTAGACTTCTCCCTTGAGAACTAAGGCTCTTATATTAAACTGCAGTAATCAACATCCAGTGAAGGTACATATAAGTTTTTTTACGCAAAGGAGTCAATCCATTTTTAAAAACTCTAAGAACTTTTTAAAGATGTCTGAGCTAAGGCCTCTGCCCTTGAGGAATTCTAGTCTTGTGGAGAGGAGGCAGACCAATTTAAAAATAGCTTTAATCCATTGTAAGAAATGCTATAATAGAGTTATATACTGAGTGCTACAAGAAAGTTTTTCCTTAGAATATACATTTTAGTTTTAATCCATATATTAAATATTAATAAGGCTTAATTTAGTGGTTAGGGATATTTTTCTCTGTTTTAAATTGTTTGCAGAAACTAGTGCATACAGACACTTGTTTATTTTGTTTTGTTCGTTTTTTTTTTTTTTGACCTAGCGTACGAAATTGATTGAATTGAAGATGCGTTTAGTTTGAGGAGCCAGATTGCTTGATTTGAGGGTTTATCACTGGCTAGAGAAGTGTTGATCACTGAATAAACATACAGGCAATGAAATTTGGTTTAGAGTATTTACATTCCAGTAACAAAAGTTCTTTAATTTTGGGCTTCCCTGGTGGCGCAGTGGTTGAGAGTCCACCTGCCGATGCAGGGGACACAGGTTCGTGCCCTGGTTCGGGAAGATCCTACATGCCGTGGAGTGGCTAGGCCCGTGAGCCACGGCCGCTGAGCCTGCGCGTCCGGAGCCTGTGCATCCGGAGCCTGTGCTCCGCAACGGGAGAGGCCACAACAGTGAGAGGCCCGCGTACCGCAGGAAAAAAAAAAAAAAAGTTCTTTAATTTTATATTTAAAGGTAACTTGAGGTTACATTTCATGTAAGTTAATATAAAGCTGTTGGAATCAACCAAATGTGGACTGATGAAGTCTGATGAAGATTATTGTTAATGTGTTTTCCCTCATACAATCTTTTTTATCTCATGTAATAATTCAGTGTCTTTCCAAATCTAAGAAAATCTAAGAAAAAGTTCAGGGTGATTCCAAAAGAACTGAACACTTGGAAAGTTTTTCTTATTCAACAACTGCTTATATATGTGAATACATAGTCAAGACCAATGTTTATGTATGTATATTATACATAAATAGTTTAAAAAGCATTTTGTAAAGAAACTTCCACTGTTATTCCTACAATCTTACAAATGCTCAAAACGTGCCTTTGTGTCACTTGGTACACATCTGTACTGTAGTCTAATTCTTATTAGACCTTTGTAGCATATCCTATCAGTGTTTGAAATGTCAGCCATGATGCAGCCCTTCATTTCCTCAAAGCTGCATATTCCTACCTGAATACTCTATGTTCATATAAAACCTAGTTACTGTGTAATATATTTTAAAAGTGTTTATTTTTGTGTCACCTTTTATAATGGTACTGCCAAAAAAAGACAATCTTCCACCTTAATGAGAAGATTCTCTCTCTCTGAACAGCAGGGTTTTGGGTTTTGTTTTTGTGTTTTTTTGTGTTTTTTTACCTTTCTGTAAAATAAGACAGATGCAAAGACCATAAATAACAAATGTATACCTTAATGAGTGAAAATAAGGTGAACACACTTGAAACCATCACTCAGGTTAATAAATAGAACTTGTCAGCTACAAGCTGATCACAACTCCCTCCTTCCCCACAAAGGTAATCTCTGTCCAGACTTTAATGGTAATCATGTCCTTGCTCTTTTAAATAGTTTATCATCCAACTGTTTACCTCTAGGCACTTAATCTTACTCATTTTTCAAAATTATATGTCTTTTGAGTATCTTTTATAAGTTCCCTCTCCATCCCTTTCTTTTCCTTATAATTTGTGTATTAACGAATCCAACCCTTTGATTTGTAGAGTCTCCCTCAACCTGGGTTTTCTTGATTGTATGCTTGTAGTGCATGTTTCACTGACTTTGTATTTTCTGCAGACTGGTAGTTGGATTTAGTGGCTTAATCAAACTCATGTTTGATCCCTTTGGCAGGACCCTCAGGTGTTACGCTCTTTCATTAAGGAAGTACATAATGTCTGGTTGTTTTTCTTTCTGTGATTTTTAGCAGTTGTTGACACTCAACACCTAGTTATTCATTGGGGATCATGGTGATATTCTAGAAGTTTCTTTTTTTTTAAGAGTTTTGTTTATTTATTTTTGGCTGCATCGGGTGTTCATTGCTGTGCATGGGGTTCTTTAGTTGTGGCGAGCGGGGGCTACTCTTCGTTGCAGTGCACAGGCTTCTCATTGCGGTGGCTTCTCTTGTTGTGGAGCACGGGCTGTAGGCACGCAGGCTTCAGTAGTTGTGGCACGCAGCCTCAGTAGTTGTGGGTCACGGGGTCTAGAGCTCAGGCTCAGTAGTGTGGTGCACAGGCTTAGTTGTTCCGCCTCATTTGGGATCTTCCCAGATCAGGGCTCGAACCCATGTCCCCTGCATTGGCAGGTGGATTCTTAACCGCTGCGCCACCAGGGAGGCCTTCTTTTTTTACTCATTAGTTGGATTACTTTTCTAAAAAGCCACTTCCTGTTAATATACATTTCATTACCCAATGGTATGTGAACCACAGTTTAAGGATATTAACCTGTATAAATGGGAAATTCCTAGATAAACTTACTTTTGAACAGCACCTCTTGATGCTGAGTGGGAGCTTGATAAATCTGGGAAAATTAATTGATACATTTATTTGATAAGTATTTATTGAGTGCTTATTATGAGCCACACACAATGCTCCCTGTTGAGGTACAGTGGTGAATAGGTCAGTCTACTAGGGGGGTTATGATAATGGCTATGAAGGAGGTGTTTCAAGGGAGACCTGATTTAGATTGGTGGGTCAGAGAAGGCCTTTCTAGAGAAGTGTCATTTAACTTGAAATGGGAAGGATGACTAGAAATTAGGTAGAGAAAGAGAGGAAGATTTCACCCAGAGAGGATATTATATTTAGTAGCCTTTTCCTGGGAAAGAGCTTGGCTTATTGAAAGATCAGAAAGAAAGGCCACTGTAGGGTGCGGGGGAGGGATAGATTGGGAGTTTGGGATTGACATATACACACTGCTATAAAAATTTAAAAAAAATAAAAGAAAGGCCATTGTAGTTATAACATTGTGAGTTAGGGGGAGAGGGTTACCTTAAGAGGCAGTAGGAGCCTAATCATGGGTAGTAAGACCTTATAAATAGTGTTACATATCTTGAGATTTATTTTAGGTACAGTATAGAAAATTTTACCCATAGACTTATAGTAGGGTCTTAGCCTATCTAATATACATCTCTTTAGCATATGTACACCTCCATAGGATGACTTTTCTGGATGGATTGGAAAGTGATCATTCCCATTTGTTTCAGGCTTTGCAAAGCTACCCTGAATGCCATCCACACAAATGACGTTTGGATAGAGACAGTTAGAGGGTTGAAAAGAATCCTAAAAACTCATCTTCTGTCTATGTTCAAAGGTGTCTGGAGAAGCCAATGAAACTCAGATTGCAGAAGCATTGAAGCGGTACAGTGAACGGGCATTCTTTGTCCGGGAAGCTCTATTTCACCTTTTTAGCCTGACTCATGTGATGGAAAAAACAAAACCAGAAATTTTAAAGGTAAGAATAAGAAACTGCATATGAGAAATTTGAAATTGTCTTCCTAGATAGATGATGGTTTTGTGAAGAAAATTAGTGAAAATTTGCATTTAGTCTGTTTTTTTGTAATGGGGTTGATAATGTATAATTTCAGTTATTAGCCATAAATGAGAATGAGAGGAGATAGTTGCATAGTGTTACTGAAGTTTTATAGTAGTAAAGTTTTATAGTAGTAAAGTAGTAAAGTATAGTAAAGTAAAGTAGTATAGTAGTAAAGTAGTAAAGTTTTATAGTAGTCTCATTTAAGCAATATAAATGCCTTCAAGTTCATATTTAACTATCTAAAACCAGTAATCACTGTGATATGTTTTCACCAGCTGTAGTAGAAAATGGAATATATGACTGGAATCAGGACACTGCTTTGTATATTACTCTTGTATTGCTTCCATATAGGCTTTTTTAAGAAATACAATATTGGAATTTTATAAGGTACTTTTCCATGCAATTTATGAACCTCCTGTGCTTTTGTAACTAATCTGCGTTATTCCTCAATTAAGATATTTTAACCAAGACAGCTTTTGAAAGGCAAGAAAGGAGGATTCTTAATTTTGTTGATTACTTAGGACATTGTTTGTCAGAATGTGGTTCTCTATCCATCAGAAGTCTGGGATACTGCTTATTTTAAGAAGCATATTTGTGAGAGGCTTCCCTGGCGGTCCAGTGGCTGAGACTTTGCCTTCCAATGCAGTGGGTGCGGGTTCAATCCCTGGTTGGGGAGCTAAGATCCCACATGCCTCGTGGCCAAAAAACCAAAACATAAAACAGAAGCAATATTGTAACAAATTCAGTAAAGACTTTGAAAATGGTCCACATCAAAAAAAATCTTTAAAAGGGGCTTCCCTGGTGGTGTAGTGGTTAAGAATCCACCTGTCAATGCAGGGGACAAGGGTTCGAGCCCTGGTCCGGGGAGATCCCACATGCCACAGAGCAACTAAGCCCCTGTGCCACAACTACTGAGCCTGCGCTCTAGAGCCTGCGAGCCACAACTACTGAAGCCTGCACGCCTAGAGCCTGTGCTCCACAACAAGAGAAGCCCCCACTCGCTGCAACAGAGAAAGCCAGCGCGCAGCAACGAAGACCCAACGCAGCCAAAAAATACATAAATAAATAAACAAATTAATTAAATAAATCTTTAAAAAAATAAAATAAAAATAAAAAGCATATTAGTGAACCTCATGCCAAGACATTTAGATTCAATAGGGCTGGGTACAGGAATTATAAGGAAAATTAGAGTACCTCAGGAATTCGTGAGGTACAAGAATCTAAATTTTAATAATCCCCCAAGATAATCCTTACGCACATTCAGTTTAGAAACCAATGAGTATAGGACTATATTATATTTGATACCTCATTTAGTGGGCACGACAATCCCAAGAGATAAGTTTTATCTCCTGTTTTACAGATTATGTACCTGAGGGTCTGTGAGGTTAAGTAACAGAAAGTTAGTGTCAGAGCCAGAAATGCCTTAACCTCCCAGTTTCTTAGATTTTGAGAATGGGGTGTTTGGAAAGGAACCAGTAACATTTAAGTCCTAAGGTGTTACCCCCAACATCTGTCACCTCCTATGTACATACCAGAGGATGTTGGCACTTCGTATATGCATTATCATTTTTTGGTTTTGGTTACTGTGAACCTGAGTAACAAAGGACCAGACCTCTAGTCCTGATCTGAAATATTTAGTCATTCATTCATTTAGAGAATGATGCAGAGAGAAATGTGATTCTTGCAAAGGAGAGCAAAGAAAAAAGGTGGTAGCTGGCTGAAGAAGTGTGTGTTTTGTTTTTTTTTTCTTTTTTTGGATGGGAGAAAAAAATAGCTTGTTTGTATGCTGATATTAATGATCCAGTACAGAATAAAAAATTGATACAGGAGTGAAAGGAGAGAACAGCTGAAGCAGTGTCCTTGAGTAGACAAGAAGGGAAGAATCTAACATGTAAGTGGAGGGATTACCTATAGAGAGGAGCCCCAAAAGGTCACTTATGGTAATAGGCAGGAAGACAGCATATGCACATGTATATGCTGGTAAGGAGGTACATGTGGAAGTGAGAATCTGAAGTTCTTTATGATTGATTCAGTTTTCTCAAGGTAACTGGAAGCAAGGTCTTCAGCCAGTAGTGAGGAATGGGGAGCATTTGTTGGGGATGAGGAGAGAGGAAAAGGAGAGAAGTAGTTATGTTGGCCAGAGGGAAGTGAATGGATTTTATGGTACTCTAACTTTAGCAGTGTTCTTAAGGAACTGAATGTTGGAATTTGAAAGTGAAGGTTGCTACTGGTTTACTCTCTTCAAGTCAGTAAGAATTTGTTTAGTGCTTAGCATATAATAGGCCCTGAACTAGGTCTTGGAAATACAAAGATGTTTTCCCTGAATAGAAAAGATTCTTTAGCCTTACAGAAAAATCTCTAGACATGAACAACTTGATACCTACCTTGACCAGGTGAACAGGAACTAAATATTGGTGAGTAACTGCTATGTCCTAGGCTCTGCACGTGAGGATAAAAAAGATACTTAAGACATCTTAGAAATTATTATAGATCAACAAAGTAATTTTGCTATATGAAGAGAGCTTATATTTATAAGTTGGATCAAAAGAATTAATTTTTTTTTTCCAGCTTGTGGTTACTGGGATGAGAAACCACCCTATGAATTTGCCAGTGCAACTTGCTGCAAGCGCTTGTGTGTTTAACTTAACGAAGCAGGATCTTGCTGCAGGAATGCCTGTGCGACTCCTCGCTGATGTGACCCATTTGCTGCTCAAAGCCATGGAACATTTCCCCAATCACCAGCAGGTAAGCATGTGGGAACTCCCATTCAAATAGTCCTTTTAGTGTCTCTTACCCGTTTCCCACCTCCATACAGTTCATTTTAGTAGACCAAGGCTGGAAATTCAAATGCCTTTGGAGGCTGTGAAGTAATAAATTTATGATGTGACTGAGTGCAGGACAATAGAGAAGTAGAAAACTAGAGAATGCTTTCCTTGCCTAAAAGTATTTCAGTCCAAATGTTAAGGGAAATAAAGCAAGCCATACAAAACATCTTGCACCTAGACCTTGAGTTAGTGATAATTTCAGCAAACAGGCATAGGCGTAGAGCTTTTGTTCTGAGCCAGGTACTGGTTCAGTATTCAAGTACTCAGTACTTAAGCACTGGGATAGAGAAATGAGTAAGACATGGATTTTCTATTTCTAGCAGTATAGGTAGGCTACAAAACTTGTCCTGTCCTCAGGACAGGACTGTTCAAAATTTGAACAGTTTGGCAAGTTAGTAAAAAATACTCAAAGGTGCAAAACCAAGTAAAAATGGCAACCCAGATAGGTGAGTGGGTCATTAAAGCCAGCTTCCCTCATTGAGAGCAATTGCCAAACTAGATGAACTTTAGGCTTTGGTGTTCATGGACTCTGGAAGCCAGGTGAACAGAAGACAAAATAGGACCCACCCAAAGGCCACCAGAAGGGAGGGAGATTAGCTGGAGTTATCCTATTTATTACCCTAGTTCTCACGTAATAGAAAAGATTTTTAAAAATGTGCGGCCTTCCCTGGTGGCGCAGTGGTTGAGAGTCCGCCTGCCGATGCAGGGGACATGGGTTCGTGCCCCAGTCTGGGAAGATCCCACATGCCGCGGAGTGGCTGGGCCCGTGAGCCATGGCCGCTGAGCCTGCGCGTCCAGAGCCTGTGCTCCGCAACGGGAGAGGCCACAACAGTGAGAGGCCCGCGTACAGCAAAAAAAAAAAAAAAAATGTGCAAGTAAACTTATATGGGCCCAGTGGAAGTCAGTCTTTGAACAGTAGGTGGGCAGAATAAAGGTTTTAAGAAATAAGTGGTGTTTTATCAATCTTTCTTTTTTTTATAGAGTCTACCGCTGTTTAAAAAATAAAATAATATTTTATTCAGGATTTTTTTTCTCCGTTTGGTTCTTTAGTTACAGAAGAATTGCCTCCTTTCACTTTGCAGTGACCGAATTCTTCAAGATGTTCCATTTAACAGGCAAGTGATAGCACTAGAACTTAAAATGGGGCAAAATGGAATTCTAGAATATGTCTTGGGTCATTTCTTACCATTCAGGATATTCGTGGTGTACAATTAGTCAAGTGGGTGGGATTGTGCGTTGCCTTGTAGAATGCTAAATCTACTTTCTCTAATTTAGTGCTTTGATGTTCATGATAACAGATTGGCCCCTGTTTTCATAGCCCTTTGCATAAGAATTTATATTGATTATAGTTTTTAGAATATCTGTACAATATTGTGGGCTGAAGAAATTGAGGCATATAGACATTCAGTGTCTTGCCAGTGGTTTTGTGACTAGTAACTGCTAAGCTAGAAAGACTCAAGCCTTCTAGGTCCAGTGTTCTTTTCTCTGTATCACACCTCATTATTATTGTTATTTGATATTTAATTATAGAAGAAACTTTTTAAGCAGAGGTTAAGGGAGACCATATAGCTGTATTCCAGTAAGTATAAAGGGTTTCCTTGTTTTCTAAGATGTGATTTGGGAGCTAAACAGGTTATTTTTTTTTTTCATTTTACTACTTTAAAATATAATTTTTTAATGATGGTATTTTGAAGAAGAAATTTATACTTTATGATTTAGTGAGAAGTGTCTTTCTCAAGTAGTAATTTTACTGTGAATTATTTTTATTTGGGTAACAGTACCCTGTTATCTGGCATGGCTGAGGCAATGAAGTATTCCATTTACTATTTGAAATAAATAGTTTGGATAAAAATATAACTACATATATCTCATGTAGATTGCTAATTTTATTTTATAAATATATTGAGCATCTGTATTGATCACATGAAGTCATAGGTAGAAAAGACATAATCTCCTAAAGAAAATTATAAACTACCCCAGGGTTGGCAAACTTTTTCTTAAAGGGCCAGATAATAAATGTTCTAGGTTAGTGAGCCATTGGGTCTCTGTTGGACCTACTTAACTCTGCTGTTGTACCTCCAAAGCAGCCATAGATACTTTATAAACAAATGGGGATAACTATGTTCCAATAAAACTTTAGGAAACAGGCAGCTGGGCCCACAGCTATTAAGATCACTTAAGGTAGGTTATCATTTGCCCTTGATGTAGCCCGTGCACTCTGCTAGAATTGACCTTCTTTGTGGTGAGAGACGGTGATTGGTTAATCTTGCCCCTAGTACTTAGTACTTAAGTGGATGTTTAATGGAAGGATGGATGAATGAATGAATTATGAGTATAATAGAAGCCAATCATTCATAGAAGAGGATGACAGAGTGTACTGGGCCCCCAAGCAAAGAGGGAAAGATTCCATCTGCTTGGTGATCATTAAAGATTTCATGTTAGTGATGGTATTTAAGATAATAAAGATAACAACTAATGTATGAAGCACTTATCAGGAACTGTGCTAAGTGTTTTACATATGCTTATTCAGTCCTTACAACAGTCCTGTGAAATTGTTACTCTTGTAATCTTCATTTTACAGATGAGGAAACAGAGGCACAGAGAAGTTTAGTAACTTGCTCAAGGTGATAAGATAGTAAGTAGCAGAATTTAGATTTAAATCCAGACTGACTCCAGAGCTTCTACTTTTTATATCCATCCCATATTGCCTTGAAAATGAAAGCTGGTTGAGTGATTGTTTTGTGTTTTGGGAACTGCACAGATAAAGGCACAGAGGAAGACAATACTAGTAAAAAATTAACCTTTATCAAAAGTTTGGTATGTGCCAAGTTCTGTACTAAGTCTTAAGCTTTATGTGTGATATCATATACAGCAGTCTTACGGAATAAGATCATATAATTTTACAGACAAGAAAATTGAAGTTCAGAGAGATTAAGGAAGTTGCCCAGGGTCCCAAAGTTAGTAAATGGTGAAGGTGATATTTGAATGCAGGCTGATTCCAAAGTGTATCATGTTCTTAATGACCTGACTGCATTGCCTCACATGATAAAATAGTTTATTTTATTATTGTCATTAACATTAGATAGAGCTATAATTGCGACCCCAAAATTCAGAGGACTTTGGAATCTGCTCTTAACTACCAAGCTATATTACCTCATAATTATGGGCATGTTTGGGGACTAATAAAGTTTCCACATGTCATATCCTCTCTTTTCCTGCTTTCTTTTTTTCTCTAAAGCATATGTCAGTACCTAAACAAACCATATATTTTACTTATTTATTTATTATCTGTCTTCCCACTATCTGTAAGCTCTAATGAGAGTAGAGATATTTTCTGTTTTGTTCACTACCCTCTCTCCAGCACCAAGAACAGTATCTGGCACAAAACAGGAGCTCAATAAATGTTTCGGAGTGAATGAATGAATGTTCCCATTGTGCTAGGTACTGGGAGGAACCCAGAAAATACTTTAAATTATTTCTATAGTATAGAAATCACTACAGAATAGAAATATGTTGTAATTCTAGAAGATGAATGCCAGATATTTTTGACCATATTTTCCAAACTCTTGTTCCTTTACAAAGTGTTGTCAGAATTAATAATGACACCATCTCCACAACACTAAGTGCACTTGTTATCTCTTATCAATTAGGAGGAATTTTCCCCTTCCTTCTCACCTACCTAAATTGTAGCATCAGTTCCCAGCTGGAGCTTTGGGAAATGCCTGGGACCTCCAGGATTAATTCATGAAACTCTTTGTGTGTTTTCAGGTTTGAAGCAGCCAAGCTTGTCATGCAGTGGCTCTGCAACCATGAGGATCAAAACATGCAAAGGATGGCAGTTGCAATCATTTCCATCCTGGCTGCCAAGGTGCCTGAACTCTTGTTGAATAATCTTCTGTAGGAAACTATTTCCCATGACAGTTACTATTTTTCCCCAAATCTGTGTGCCAGTGAGGTTTTAGTAAGCCAGGTAACTTACTCAAGCTGTATTCAGTATTGTGGAATTCCAGGTTGATCAGAGATTTTAGTCTGACCTTTGGAGTCTGTTACAGTGAATGATATTAAACTCACACTGGTGAATTCTTGGACATTTACTTTGTCTTCTGCTTGCTTGCAGCTTTCTACAGAACAAACTGCACAGCTTGGTGCTGAACTCTTCATTGTCAGGGTAAGTCTGTACAGACTCCTAAACAGTTTTCATTTGCATTATTTTCAGGCAGTGTTGTGTATCTTCTGACATTTTATATTTTAAAAGATTATTTTTGTTACTTGTAAGTGAGTGAATTAATTTCTCTTCATTGAGGCAGATTTACTCCTTAACAGAGATGGAAAGAGCCCTGAACTAGGAGTCAGATGACCTGGGATCTAACTTGTAAACTCACTTTGTGAATTTAGATAAATTACCTGGACCATTGGGGCCTGAATAAACCTTAAGATCCTATCTAGTTCTAATATTCTGTGATTTTGTTATTTATGAAGAAAATGTGGAGTCTATTTTTGGCGTAAGGTTGTGCTAGATGCTTTAGGGAAGAAGATAATGTAAATAGCTGATATATGATTTTACTTGCTTCATTTGAGGAATTAATATAGTGAACAGTGAAAAGTTAAAAGCTTTAAAGAGAATAAATTTAAACCATGCCTTAGGGGGGGACTGAGGAAAAAGTCCACTTAGGAGCTGCTTGTTACAATCCTGGCGTGAGATGTTTGAATAATAATAGTAGATGGAAAAGTCAAATGAGAGACTCCCCTTTTCTATAACTTACAAGTTATGTATGTAATGAGAAAATAAGTCACTCATTTGGTAAATATGTATAGGATACTCATCAGGTACCTACCACCTTACTAGGTGTTAGGGATCTACACTGAATTATATCTATATTTCCTGCCCATAAGAAATTCACAGTATAGTAGAGAAAATAGCTATGTAGACCTGGTCGTAATACAGTAATACAGTCTAATAAATATATAATAATAAGAGTGATATGAGTGAAAAAAGCAGTGTAAAAAGAGGAAAAAGCTGTGATGGTATAAAGGAAGGAGTAGTCAATATATGTGGGCTTATTCCCAGTTCTATCACTTACTAGCTGTGTGATTTAAGACAAGTCACCTAAATTTTCTTAGGGATGATAAAATGCTTTATACAGTTGTTATGAAGATTAAATAAAAAGGAAAAAAGATTAATTGAAGGAATATGCTAATTGCCTAGCACAAAATACGATACGTATGTTAGATGAATAGAAAAGGATGCTGATTTGATTTATTTTTACTCTTTTAGGGATGACATTTTAGTTTTAAAAATGCCTTTTTATTGCTGTACATGTGTTTCAGTAATTTTGGCGGGAGGTGTACTCAAAGATATTAAGGAAGTAGTGCACTCATATGCTTTGGGAGAAAATTGTTTGGTTTAAAGTAGGAATTAGCAGGAATTAATAGTAGTAGTAATGATGATGCTAGCTAACTTTTTTTTTTTAAGCCCTTAATTATCACCCACAATTTACAGATGAGGAAACAAAGAGTTAAATTGGCAAACAAGGTTATTACACAGTTAGTCAGATGCAGAGATTATATTTACACTCAGGTAGCCCAATTCTAGTGCCACACTCTTAGCCACTATGCTATTAAGTTACATAATTGCAACTAGATGTTTGTGTTTCTTAAAAATTTTTTCCTGAATTGTACATAACTTTAAGTATTAGTGTTCATTAGTGTTACTTGTATCTGTTGTTGCAGAGCTCCCTTTTACCCTCAAAAGTGTAAACTAAAAATGGAATTATGTATGCCTGTGTAGGTCTTAAAATATTTCTTTTTCAAGCTTAAATTTCTTAGGTTAAAGCTATGATAGAAATAATTTACAAATGGAATTTCAAAGCTATTATCTTATTTAAATCCAATTTAGACTTTAATTCTCTTACTATTGTATGTAGTTTTTCCTTTCTTTTTTTCTTAAGGAAAACTTGGAGTTAGAGAGAATTAGGTCTTCCAGTTCTTACTTTCTCTTACTAAGTTGACTCTGATCAAATTACTCAATATTTCTCGGACTCAATTTCCTCTCCTGAAAAATGGGGATGACAATATTACAATATAGGATATGATTTGCTGATGTGTAGTAAATATTAGATTCATTTCCTCTTCACCCCCTCCACCTTTTTTATCCCAGGATCTGAAATGAGTATATGTTGTGACCCGTTGGATAAGATAGTTGGTCCTAAGCTTTAATCATCTTGCTTTTCATTTTATTTACAGGCGATTAGATTTTAGGTGTGATCAGAATATTTTAAAAGTATTTATGAAAATCCTCTATTTTTTTCTTGTTGAAGGAAAAGTCTGATCCAAGAGGCTGTTTGTTGTCCTTGTAAGAACCTTTATAGGAAATGTTTGAAACCCTGAAACTAATCCTCATGGACTTATTAGTCAGTGTTATTACCAGTAATTGTAATAACAATTCAGTAATTAGAAATTAATTCTATTTTCCTCCTTTCAGCAACTTCTTCAAATAGTGAAGCAGAAAACCAATCAAAATTCAGTGGACACTACTTTGAAGTTTACTTTGAGTGCACTTTGGAACCTCACAGATGAATCTCCAACCACTTGCAGACACTTTATTGAAAATCAAGGGTTGGAACTCTTCATGAGGGTTCTAGAGGTTAGAATGGGAATTTAGCCTACAGTTTTTGACATTGATTTATTGATTGATTTGAGCATTTATTTATTATATTTGCTTCTTTAGTTATAGGTTTCTCGTTCTTTTTACAGTCATTCCCAACTGAGTCATCCATTCAACAGAAAGTCCTAGGACTTTTGGTAAGATATAAGTATTTCCTGCTAATTTCAAGCTGTAATTATTTTCCATCTGAGGTAATACATAGAAAGATGCTACTCTATTTGTAAACACTTAATGACGTTAGAAAATATATATAATATAATTAAGGGGAAAAAGCAGGCTACAAAATTATATATACATATTAAGATTTTCACCACATTAAAAGGAAAAATATAAATTACATACTTTTATTTATATATTTTGGTGTAGTACAAAGCTTCACTGTGAGCGTATTTTACTTGTATAATCAGAAAAAAAAAATCTCATGAAAAATGTCACTAACCTACAAGTGTCCTTAGATTCTATGTTTGGTAATTGATAATTACCGCTTAAACAACTGTTTAACAAATCAGATGTTCCATAAATATACTGGATATATGTTAAAGTGAGCCCTCTAGGATTTTGAGACAAAGGTGAGGATCAGATATTTTATCACCTTTAATCACTGCAATAGGAAAAGTACCCATATGGTAAAGCCCATTTCAAAGCAGACCTCTGCTCTCGAGGAATTAGATCACAGGAGGCATAGATTAGTGTTTGTTTTCTAGATGCAGGAGTATGAAAGATGGATTTTGGGGAAAGCTGAGGGCTGGCATTTAAGGAAGACTATCTATTTACTGTAGTTTTAGTTACATAAAGCAGAAAATGTAAAACTACCTAAATGCCCAGTAATAGAGAAGTATTAAGTAAATTATAGTATTTGATTGTTTTATTCTGGGTTTGTAGATTATTAGATACAGAATTTGACTCAAGTCATTATAAAAGGAAAAAGGGAATTGATTTTAAATATTCAGAGAGATCTTATAGGGCTTTAAAAATGCTTTTTAAAAAAATTTCATAAGGAATACATGCTGGGGACTTCCCTGGTGGCGCACTGGTTAAAAATCCACCTGCCAATGCAGAGGACATGGGTTCGAGCCCTGGTCTGGGAAGATCCCACATGCCGTGGAGCAACTAAGCCCGTGTGCCACAACTACTGAGCCTGTGCTCTAGAGTCCGCACGCCACAACTACTGAAGCCCACATGCCTAGAGCCCACGCTCTGCAACAAGAGAAGCCACCGCAACAAGAAGCCTGTGCACCTCAACGAAGAGTAGCCCCCGCTTACCGCAACTAGAGAAAGCCTGCGCGCAGCAACAAAGACCCAACACAGCCAAAAACAAATAAATAAATAAATATTTTTTTAAAAAAAAGGAATACATGCTTATTGTAGCTAGTGAAACAGTGCGAAATGTATTTAAAAGGTTTAAGGTTTTGTCCCCAACATTTCTTTATTTTCATCTTTGTGAGGTAATTAGTATTAATACAACTTGGTGTGCTTCCTTCCGTATCTTTCTCCATTACTTTGTGATTGAATTTTTTTCAATAATTTATTTTCAGATATAGATTCTAATTTGATTTTTCATGGTCAGAGAACATACTTTGTTTTAAGTCCTTTTGAATTTATTGAGACTTGTGTGTGGCCCAGGATATGGTCTATCCTGGTAAGTATTCCCTGTGCACTTGATAAGAATGTATATTCTGGGCTTCCCTGGTGGTGCAGTGGTTGAGAGTCCGTCTGCCGATGCAGGGGACACGGGTTCGTGCCCCGGTCCGGGAAGATCCCACATGCCGTGGAGCGGCTAGGCCCGTGAGCCATGGCCGCTGAGCCTGCGCGTCCGGAGCCTGTGCTCCGCAACGGGAGAGGCCACAGCAGTGAGAGGCCCGCGTACCGCAAAAAAAAAAAAAAAA